CATACAATCAATGCACAAATTCGTCGAAGAATACAGATAATTTCAGATGGTGCCGTATCTATAATTTCTAAAAGGTCATGATTGAATAACGCTCTAAGAGGTACCTGCATAACCAACGTAAATACTTGGATCTGCTCGTTGATACTGGCGCTGAGTTCCTGCAGATAATTCATTCAGTTTTATGTCGATATATTGAAGCAATTTAGTCCGCCAAGTTTCGGTACACTAAATATATGCGATCAAAATACGAATAGTATTACTGATTCATTTCAGATATTTTTTTACATTATTTTTCTTTTCCTAAGCATGAAATAAAAGCTATAATCTTGGGCTTTTGTTGTACTTTAATGGCATATACTGTAGTAACCCAAAATTTGAATGCCCTTTTGTCCACCAGCACGCTACTTGGTATAGTTTGAGTCGTTACTAATATGCTCTTTAGTGATACAAAAGAGCAGCTTGTATTATCGAAAACACTAGTTTACTCATAATATCAGGGTAAGATTTATATTGAATACTGTATCCATTAATTATTACTACTGTAGGATCATTAATTTACTGATGTTTAATCTTGCAAATGGATTACAATTTTAATTTAGTATTTCAGCAAATTAGACTAATTTTCTTCAGCTACCATTCATTCGACACCTATATTAAATGGTGTATTAGTGCTGCTGAGATTGATCTGCAAGTATTTTATGTACTATCCAAGAAAATTTAGAATATCAGTATAACTACTGATAAATCAAAGTAGATCGGTATAAAGTCGAAAAATTGACATCCAAAAAATCATTCTATTGTTCTCCAAGAAGAAAATTTCAACAGCCCGCAAAAGCGCATAGTAATGTACTTTATCTTTTATACCCTCTCTATCCACGCTTAATGCAATAAAATAGTTGAAGATGGTAAAAAATTAATTACAAGTAATTGGAGCAATTGTACTTTTATTCCTTTGGTTGTACCACTGATCACAGGCGCCTAAAGTATTATTATTAATTATCTNG